TGCAGCAAAACCCAGATCGGGGTTCTACTGGAGAACCCAGATGGAGAAAAAAAAAAAAAAAGAGGAAGAAGGAAAAAAGAAGAGGATAATGAATTTGTTAGAAGAGGAAGATGGAGAGCCAAGAAGAAAAAGGGGTATTGTGAGAAAGATGACTTTTAAGATTAAATTTGTAATTTTATTCTTATAATTATTTGGTTTTGTAGAGTGTGCACCCGGGTGTCGAACCAGAGGTGCACTAAGCATTTTCCTTAGTTATATCAATAATGGTAGCAATTAAAACATCCAATGCAAAACAAATTGGAAAGGAATTGACATTAACAATTATACATTAGGATAACAATAAAAAAAAGGTGTATATATATTATTATATTTTTATCAGCCAACAAAACAAAATATATATTAAATAAAGGTAAAGGGGGCACTAGATTCTATTGTGAACAAGACTTCAAATTCTCTCAACATGCAAAATAATTAAATCACAAACACATAAATCCAAGAATGCATAGACCAAGAGTTTAGACCCCAATAAAGTAACGTTCATATGATGAAACCATTTTACAATCAATTCACATGCACTGTACTTTTCTCGGGATAAAGTCCATATCCTTTGTACACATAATACTGCCCTCTAAGCCAATCTTCCATTGAATTCACATTGCTCTAAATCTTGCGTATCTTTTGCATCCATGGACATAGAATCTCCAAACTCATTTGTCTAAGAATTGATGGTTTCTTATTATAAAAATGAGGAAATTAGTATTCAGAGCATGTTTCCTAGACCAGAAAAATCAAACAAAGCACTAAGACTTTTGAAGCAAAGAGACTGAATGATTATAGAAGCCGTTCACTTTTTGATTTTTGAATGGATAGAAAGGTCACTTTAACCAAATAGAGACTAAGATTTAAGATCATAAATTTGAGCTTTATTTTTTTTACCTTGTCAGCCAAACAATCAAAAAAAGAAAAGGGAAAAATAAAAATGTTGAAATTCACCCCTTAGCTGGCAACATGGTTGAGAAGACAACTTACAGCAAATCATAAACGCTAAAATTGAAACCTTATAATTGACAACATAATTGAGAAGTCAAAACTCACTTATAAAATTAAAATCATTGGAAATATGTAAAAGACGTACTTTAAGAAAGATATTCTTTTTTTCCCCTTTTTTCTTGGTACAGTAAGTATTCTGAGTTTGGTTGTGTTATCTACTATAAAGAAAATAATAATTCTTCTAAATTTGTTAAAAAAGAACTTGTTACTAAGAATTTATCACCACTATATGAGGAATACGGATTTCCCATAAAGTTTCAAAAACTTGTTACTAAGAATTTATTAACCCACCTTCAGTGGCTGATGAGTTAGGAT